CTAATACTTACATATTTCTGGAGTTGGTAGCCTGGAAAGACAAACAGACAAATTTCAGTTTCAAGATTGTTAGCTGTTTTTGTGATAAATCAATGAGGAGGACTTTGAATTAATTGAATTGACCATGCAAAATGTTGGCATTTGGGGGTGAAATGGAAAAAACAGAACCTCTGTATTAGCAGTATTTAGGCCAGAACCTCTGTATTAGCAATATTATAATTAATAAAGCAGGGAGAAGCAAATGATAACTATAGATTAAATGTTTTTTTGATGAACAAAGTCCGAGAGAGAAATAGACTGAGAAAGTAGGGAAGGAGGATTTAATTCAATGAAAGGCTTGGAATGAGCCCTCTAAGTTATAATATCAGATGATAGTACAAAATTCAAAGTAAAATAGTGATACTGTATACTTCTGTGAATGCATGTCTATTTTCAAATCTCAAATGTACTCACACTTCTTGGCTAAGTATAGACAGTCAAACAGCCGAAGGCTAATTCGATTCAATCTTTGCAGGTTAGTTTAACCTGCATAAATTAAACCGTTAAGCAAGTGAACAGACATCCACTTTTGATTCCAGAAATACAGACAACATGCCTGTAGTGGCCTAGACCAGAAGCTGAAGGATGCTAGAGCACACTTCCCTGCTTGGCTGGAGAAGACAGTTTGGGCCAAAGCTAGCCTGACCACCCGGCAAGGGGGCTTGCGGGGGAGGTGCAAAGTAGGCCTATGCGACTAGACAGCTATTTGATTCAGCTTCAGATCTGGCTGATTCAGATGCCAGAAATCTGAGTCAGAGCTCCAGATCCGTTTCCTGCTTTGATTCAGCCGAATCGGCTCTGAAGCTTTGGAACTACTTCAGAGATCTGGCCATAGGGTATAATGGGGAATCAATGAAATATCTATAACTTCGTTGTTTTTGGTCTGAAGTAGCTGAAACTTGCAGAGATGGTAGCCCCTGCTGAGAGCATGAAGCCTGCCAAGTTTCAGTGAGATAGGTGCAGTGGTTTGGGAGAAACTGCACCCCAAATTCATGAAAGCAAAACTCATGTCACGTGTGTGCGTTATACCAGAGGGGGGTGAAAACTGCAGGGGTGGTATGTGCAATGAACTTCTGTTCTGTTACAGATTTGAACCAGTTTCCAATCACTTAAATCAGTTTATGTGTAATTTCTGTCCCTAGCCCTTTTCTGATTCTTACATTAAATACAGGTGAAACAAATTTAATCTATGTAACAAAACTTCTTACCAACTATGTGAAATCTAACGTTTCTACCAGTTATCTTCATAACTACAGAACAGTCTATTTACAAGACATGGGAAGGCAGTGGAATCTCTCCCCCTAGCTATCTGTCTTCCCACATTTTCATTCCAAGTCAATTATCAGAAAAGTCTTGAGATATTTGAGGAGGATGAATAAATCCTAAATGATAGGAGTCAGTGAAAGGGCAGTCTTCAGCTCCATCTGGCTGGTTTCACTCTAAGCATGAGGACTTTTGATTATTCAGAATTTATTCTTAATTTCTCACTAGTATGGAAGGTAGTCATTTACTGTAGCTACAAAATGAAAATAACTTAGCAAAACAATGGAGTAGAAAGAGCAGTTAATTGTATTTTTAAGAGGAATCCTGATACTAGCCCTGGTCAGCTTCTTACTATACAGAGTACAGACAAGATGTAAGGAAGGACTAACTATTGGTGTTTTTGGCTATGGTTCTATCTTCTATAAAACCTATTCCAAAATAGAATTAAATTAGTTTCAATATGAAAATAATATTTGCCAACTAGCTGTATTGCCTAGATTTTATTTTTCAAGGCATCCAAAAAATATGGCTGTTGTGGCATTATAGCCTCATTCATAGTGATGACTGATATGAGCATAATGTTTAAATAATTACTCATTTTTTTCTTTCAGCTGACTGAAATAGCTGATTTTAAAAACTTTGGTTTTGGCACACATCTAGTCATCTATGATACACAGTCATTTTTCTAAGTTTGGGGGGGAAATGTGTCAAGAAATAATTAAGGGCCAGATTTCGTAACCCTGAATCATGCTGAGTGCTATTTAATCATTCAAACAGCCACATGGTTATCATTTTACTTGCCAGCTTGAGTGTGTACTTACTTAAGTGGTACCAATTTCAACCGTCAGAACCTTCCCACACTCAGCTACCAAATCCTTTCTCAATCATGGTTTTCCTATTTCTTTCAGAGTTACCATGAGAAATAAGAGATCAGTGGCCTTTTTAAGCTTCATTGTGCACAGATTTTGCCTTGATTGTTCATAACTTTATTATTAACCCTTAGTATAGTTAAGCTTTATATACACATCACACAAATCCCATTCGGTAACACTCATGCTATAATCAGCTCCAGTGAAATTCCCTATTTCATCACAAGGGATAGGAACCTTCCTGACCCACAGAAATAAAATACATTCTCCTTCCCAGGTTGAACATTTCAGTAAATCCGGATTTAATAGCAATATCACATTCAAGTAAAAGTGTTTATTTTTCTTTTAAAAGTTACATTTCAAAACTTACATTACTGCAATTATAAGATTTTAGGTGATAAATGTACAAATCATGAATTCAAAAATTTCACAAAAATCAGCCACTTTGAACATGTACACTTAAAGGAATAAATAATCATTGTATACATTAAAAAAATATAGTAAAGCTTTCCTAACTCCAACTTTGATGTGTGAATCTGTAATTCCGACAAAAAGGAATGAGTCTTACTCCATTTCTCAAAAAAAGACTTAATAAAAGACTGAAGTTATCATCATATAGAAGGTTCAATAATCTTCTGAGGTGAGTATTATAGATCACACCTCATTTTGTCAGACATCCTACTTACACCGTGAAAGCTATTTTAGCAGCCTTAAATTCAAAAAAACCTGTGGCACAAAGGGAACAGAAAGCTTCTCTTAGGAGGTATGTTGGCAGTTCCTCTTAGCATAGTAAATTTCTAGATTGGTCAAAAGCATGGCTAGGGCAGTGATACAGCAGGAGACTTGGAGCTCCTGCTCCTATAAGAGGAGGCAGACTGCAGGTGCAGCAGGAAGTCAGTTAGGGACCATGCCTGAAAAGCAGCCTGCAACCATGGCCAGAGCTGATTGTAGAGTCATCTGACCCAACAGGAGGGCTGGGCTTAGACTGGAAGTAAACCCAGGCCCTGAGCTGAGTCAGCAGCAAGATGCTGGAGGCTGCTGAGTGAACATCTCCCAAGTAGGATGGCTGTAGCTCCTGTGTGCCAGCACAGAGAGAACAGCCTGCAGCAGTCTGGAGGTTTGGGGAAGGACTGTGGGGAGAAGGAGGTCCCTGGGGGGCCTAGTAAGGGGGTCCAGCTGCCCTGGAGATGATGCTGTTACAGGCAGGAGGAGAGGTCAGGTCCAAGAACGCAGTATTTCCCTTGGCCAGCAAAGTATACCTTAGTGATTTGTTCTAAGTCGCATAGTTCAGGTTGTTCTAAATTATTCTAGGACCCTATTAGATCCTTGGTAGGGTCAGATATCTCAAAGGTTTACAATAGGAATTACATCAAGCATGGATTTTTTGGCATCTGTTGGCTGTTTACAAAATCTGCCATCTCTTTAGGGGGTCCTCATCATCGGTGTGCGAGTGAGGCTTTACCGCATATATAGTGGCCTAAATCAAGCCACTTTGTAGACAGCTATGGGGCACTTTATGTGCCTGAAAATAGTTTCATAACTGGCAATAATGTTTTTCCCTTCGACATGACAAAGATATTAGATAAAATGCATAGATAGCAACAGGGGCTGGTGCAGGAGTTAAAACCCAGAGCATTCTCCGTTTCATGATAGTGCCCAACTCATTGAGCTATAGAGCCAGCTTCCCTGGCCTGCTCACCCCACACATCTTCTTGTCTTAGCTTCCCAGTGAATTTCACCAGGAAGGGCAGAGCATACTCTTAGACCTCTCTCACCTTTTACCTCATGGTTAGGGCACCTTGCAGAGAAGTGGAAGACAGTTCAGGTTGAGGAGGGCCCAGAATCTAAGCCTTCCACTTTTTGGGCAAGTGCCTTTACTACTGGGCTGTCGAGACAAAATGAAGGAGGGCCCCTTCTTTTGCCACAAACAATTTTAGTTGTGTTTTTTTCTGTGACTAGTGTTTTTGTGGACACAGAAGATCATGGGCTTTCCTGGGCAGATTAGGATCTCAACAGAGCCTTAGCAGCAACAGCATATTCTGCACACTCAGAAGGACAAGTTGAGTTGCATAGGGAGAGTTGGATGAGGTCATGTGAGTACTACTTACCTGTCTAAAGAGGGAGTTGGATTTGGGACACTGTCTCTAAGCTAGCCCAGCTTTCTTCTAATGTCATGGTGATTTAAACAAATTGTGTATTTTAAAGGTGCATTTACACAGGTTGTCTTGCACTTGTTTTTCCTATAGGCAAAACAAAACAAAACAAAAACATATTGTTTTTTGGTCTTACAATCCTACTAACCCTAAAGTATGATTTTATCCTGGGAAATAGCTGCATAATATTGTCATCTTACTCAATGGATCTATTCTGTTATCTCAATCCTTATGCCCTTGAAGTCACACTTTGTCCAACCCCCTGTCACCCCACCCCACCTCAAGACAGGCTCTTCCCTGCCTACACCATCCCATCCAAGCATCTGTCTAACAGTGTTATGTCCCCACATACCGATCTGTGCTAGCTGCAGTGTAGCACAGCTAAGGAGTAAGCCCAAGTGCTTTTACCTAGGTTCTAAGTAGGCTCAAGTTAAAATTAACCATTTAGACAGAAACATCTAATTAGATAAATCATTATCTTACATGCAGTTGCCCACTACATAAATAGCTATGCCCTCTGGGTTATGTGGCAGTCACTACTGTCTCCTTGGCTGTGCAGTAAGTCCTTTGCTACTGACTGTTAAATGCTACATTTAAAAGTATGCACAAGTGCAAATTCCCATCTTGATAAATATGGCAAAGGCATGAAGCTGTAGCAAACCGGATTTAGATTGAATCTCAGGGGAGCTGTTCTTACTGTCAGAGCAATGTGACAGGGGAAGAGACTGCCTAGGATGTTGTAGAAATCCCTTCCTTGGAGGTTTTCAAGAGGAGGATGGATACAGTTGGTAGTTTAAGAATGGTATTCCTGTGCTCATGCAGGGGCTGGGCCAGATATCCCCATGGGTCTAAACAGTTTTAGGTGCTGAACTGATTTAATTGAAGATAAAAAAACTTTGGTGTTAGAGAACATATACCAGAAGTGGTACAGTCATCCACCCTGGCAATCTTTAAAAAACATCTTGATGCCCATCTTGCTGGCGTCACTTTCCTGCCCGAGTGCAGTGGGGCTGAACCTGATGATCTGTAAGGTCCCTTCCAGCCCCTAACAACTATGAAACAATAAAACTATGAAATGAGTGCATCAGCAAGCTTCTTATGTATATGCAAGTGCATCTCTTAAAAATACTTTATACATGCAAACATGATGCAAAAAAGTATAGAGTATGGATCCACTTATTTTAAAATAATTTTTCTCTACTATTCCCTCCTTCTCCCTCCCTTCCCCTCCCCTTCCCCCATCCCCGTGCTGCAAAGTTATTGCAGTTATTAAAGAGTTCCAATTTTAGGGTCAGATAATTACATTGAGAATCTCCACTGTAACTAAAGCCAGAACATGGACTGCAGAATGCTTTTATGGGTTTTAGCACATTAGCTAGATGCCTACAATCCGAATTAGAGATTCTGAGTTAATAACTTTGATTGCTGCTGCTGAATAGGGGAAAAAATCTTTTTATTCATAAAGTTGAGAGCACGTTCCATAAAGTTTTAAACAAATATTTTGTAGTATGAAAACATACCTTATAACAAAAAAACAAACAAAACAAAACAACCTCCCCTGCTCCAGTGCCGGGCATTTTAACTTGTGCTGGGCAAGTCTTGGGACCTCCTTGTTTCCATTCTGATTCAGAGACGTTGACTATTAAAACATAAAGAGCAGCAAATGCTTTATACTGATACATTGTTCTAAGTGTTTGGGTACTTAATTTTTTTGTGGCCAAAATCACAGCTGTTTTTAAAAAAATGTTGACCTGAAGATTTGAATCACATGTATATGCCAGCCTTATTAATTATTCTGTAGTATTGAGATTAAATGTTAGTTGTTTTTCTAAAGTGAAAATTCACATTGTGAACTAAACTATTTTGAGTAAAATATATTAAGTTTTACAGCAAGTGTTTTTGTTGGATTACTTGTGAAAACATCGTAAATTAACTTGATACAAAGGTCAGGTACAGGCACTGCCCTTTTACTGATATAAGTGATTGGAAATTGGTCTATACCTGTAACGGAACAGAAGTTCGGCACAGAAAACTGGTCTACATCCATAACAGAACAGAAGTTTGGTGCATGCAGACTGGTGTAAAAATAATGGAACTTGGTCTAAGATTTGACCTCACCCACCAAAGGGTGAACGTGTGTCCTGTTTGCTCCCAATCTAAACTATGCCGCTTACAGAAAACCGCATAATTCAGATCGATTCCACCTTAGGTTTTTTGAATGTCTATAACTAGTCAAAGTGTTTATCATTTAGTCTAAGCTGATGAGACACACACATATTCATATTCTGTTTCTCTTTTATTGTGCAGACAAAACCTGTTGCATTTGCGGTTCGGACAAATGTTGGTTACAGCGCAGCTCACGATGATGATGTCCCAGTCCCAGGCATGGCCATATCATTTGAAGCAAAAGATTTTCTTCATGTTAAAGAAGTAAGTAATGCTTGCTTTTAAAAGCTGTACCAACTTTTACATGTTGAATAATAATATTTAATATAACTACACCACTGCATTTTCAAAGCACTGTACAGACTTTATGAAGGTATAACATTAGTATGAGGGGTTTTAGATTATTTGTATATAATGAGGATTGCATTTCATCACATGCATATTTCACTTGCAAATACGTAACCTGTGTAAAGAGTACGATTAGATTCCATAGTCATTGTTACTTTTGACAGCCTTAAAATAAATCTAGTTATGCAAGTTTGGCAATGTAACATCTTCAGGGATTTGTTGTCCTTGTGACTTAACCTCAATATATTCTTTTTTCTTCCTACATTAACTCAATATATTTAAGTCCATTATATTACACAATATACA